CTGAGGGTGTTTTAGAAAAAACATATCATATTAATTAATTTAACAAACATCATTAATCTACTCAAGTTCGTTAATTATGTCTTATATTAAGAACCGGAGGAGTATGTCTTATTGTATAAACCGATGGAGAAAGAATGTTCCTTAAATATAAATGCAATTACTTTTTCATTCAGATCTTTCAATTGATTGAAGTCCCATGCACAAAGAGATTTAGAACCAGTATAAAGACCTGAGTCTTTAGTCTATGTGTCCTACGTTAATAAGATAATACATTATCTTCATGATGTAGTTTTGCAGGGCATCCCGTACTCCTTTGCCATGATGCTCCAGTTCTTATTGTTCTTTACTAGTTTGCTCTATCCCCTATTTTCCCTTTTTTCATACTATCTATGAAGCTGTAGCATGGAAATCAGATATACATGTGTAGTAGGTCCTAATCCAAGATTAGTGGCTAACTTATGGGTATCCATCCCAACATACATGGCACTGATGTGTTGCCATTTTAATATTTCATTTATCCTGCTTGTAGCATAACAAACTCCAGAACTGGGAATCAAATAAAGTCCTCTCTGCTAACCTCAACACTAGGAGATAAAAGAAAAAACTGTAATGACCCAATTGTGAGGTTTGGGACTTGATTCCCATATTTGAAGCATGGATTCTAATGTGCGGTGTATACGAACTTTCAGCTCTCTGGCTTTATCTGCTGGCATTTGGGGAATGGCTGTTTAAAGTTCATATAAACATTTTTTCTATTTCATCGTTGGGTTTTGACTCAATTAGGAAGTAATAGTGACAAGTTTTAGATTATGTGTGTTTATACATGCACTATATTCATATGGGACTAAACACCTTGGCAGTTCATCTAGGATTTTCACTATTTACAGACTGGTTGTTAAAAAAGACAACCGATGCCTGGTTCTGCTCAGGAGCAAAGCCATCTTCTCTTTCATCTCTGTGAAATATTTTAGAGAATGCTTTACAATTAAGATCAATTTGAATTGTTTCAAACTTTCTTAGTCTTCATTTCATTGAGTTGTACCTGATTTTGATGTTCTTGTATGAGGTCTTATGGTACTTCGCTTATAGAATTTCCTCCTTCTAGCTTTTGGAGAAACTGAGTATGTCAAAATTTAAAGCACTACATGTTACACGCTGCTAAAAAGAACTTATGCTATTTTGGGTTTCCCAATGATCAGAGGACTGGAAAAATACGGCACCGAAGGAAACGATCCATTGACGTGGACAATGAAAAACTCCAAAATGAGTTTAACCATGACGCTGCTCCTTTTGGGGATGCCAATATCCACTCAGTCACTGATGTCCAAGATTCACCTTCCACTTCACAACAAGTACAGGGTGCCGCATTTGGGCATCAAATTATGAGGGAGGAATGGGCAGCAACACGCATTCAAACAGCATTCCGAGGATTTTTGGTAATTGCTCCATATTGTTTCAAGCTTAATCAATTTGCACAAAAAACATTTGTGAATTATTTTCTTCTACCTGAAAATGATTAGAGGGCGGTATTGATGCGATATTTTAACCTTTCATACAGCTATGAAGTAACTTTGTTTTTATGAGAAACCAATGAAACACGTAGCTTGTTCACATGAGTTCTCAATAAAAGATTGCACCAATCCTGTCGTCTGGTTGAAACAGAATTATGAGAAAGATCTCCCATAGGCAATATTACCCTTGCAGTATGCCTTTCTATGCAGACACACTCTCTTATCCAATTTGATCTCCAATCATCTTTCCTGCTTCATTTTTTTGGGGTTCTTGTCTGAAAGTTTTTCCTCTATTTCATCTTGTTTAACTCTGTGCAAATAGGAACTCAGCGATTGTTTTTAATCTGATTTGATAGCCCTATCTTCTGTTCTCCTTCATGTTTTGATGCCCTTGTCTGCAAAGTTTTCCTCTATGTGGCCTTCTTTAACTGCGTGCCGGTGCAAACTGAGTAATCTAATTTCTTTAGGTGATTGATACAACTAGATAGTAAACTAGGAATAGCTTTTAAATTTAAATCCATAACTAATCTCCAACAGCTATACAATATTTTATTCACTGACAGTATTGTGGTTTGGCTTTAGATTACAAATTGCTTTTATTATTGAAGAATCGTATACTTCAGTACCTGATTAAAGGGGCTTATTATATGGGGATGTTATGTTCTGGAGTCCATTATTGCCTTGGCGTGTTTAGAGGAGTTTTTGAATGTGTGGAGGTCCAGTGAGTATTACTACCGTACTTATTTGACCGTGCTAGAATGTTTTGTTATGCATGTCAGGCCCGAAGAGCACTACGGGCTTTGAAAGGATTGGTACGGCTTCAGGCCCTTGTAAGAGGTCATGCTGTGAGGAAACAAGCTGCCATAACTCTCCGTTGTATGCAAGCTTTGGTGAGAGTCCAGGCACGTGTTCGAGCAAGGCGTGTGCGCATAGCCTTAGAAAGTCAATCAGCACAACAGAAACTTCAGCAACAACTTGCAAATGAAGCTCGTGTTCGAGAAATAGAAGTAAGCAGTATTAGATCATTCCAACAGTAATTCTGTATATGTTGCAGGCCTTTCCTAAAAGTATCTTGCTTCCATTTATATGAGATAGCTTCTTTAGTAATCCACTTGCTAGGGGTTGGGAATGTTTTGAAAAAAGATTATTATTAGATTGGTGACATTGAATTGTGAGACCTATCCTGTTTCATTAAATCACTAGGTTAGTTGATATAATGTGTTACTATGTGTTAGGCTGAGCCCATGATACACAGGCTTTTAGATCTAATTTTTTGTTGAAATATTCTTTTGATTATTGTATTCTAGATTAGCTGAGTCTTCTATCCTGAATTTTTAAACTCTGAATCCTTTTCTTCACTATTGATTCATATGTTGATAATTATCAGAATCCCAGTGTTTGCTCAGGTAGGATACCTGACTGAGATTCGAGTTAACTGCAATTTGACATGTTGAACTCTCAGACACTTGCTCATTAGGAGCACTAGAAGGGAAAACTAGAAAATATTAACCTTGCAAAAGTTAGGAAATTGGCCAGAGATAAATAGTTGAGTCTGGAGAGTTTATTCTAGAAACATTTCAAAGGATGGAAATTGGGAGCTTGGGAGGAAAAGCTTAGATGTTGGAGATATAAGATGATTCTAGTGAGAGCAGAAATTAGACAGAACGAGAATGGATTTTGGACCTGGGAATCTGCTCTTCAAATTAGATACATTCAAAAACAAATATGGAAGCCCATTTTTCTGCTCTTTACTCCTATATGAACCATTGTCAGATTCACTTCCTGACTTGTTCAAAAATGCTATTTGTGGCAGTAAAGCATTCAAAGAGATTTCTTTAGTTTAATTATGGCAGGACAGTCTCTTCTTGCTCTAGCCAAATGTCTTAATGGAAAGATACAACAGCAGCAAGGGCAATCCTCATCTCACTAAGTGACGTTGGGTACATGGATCACAATATCATTAGGCTTTATCAGCTACTAATTTTTTAGATATATAATTCACCATAAAATCCCGTTTCACAACTTCTTTAAGTGCTTTATTTTCGGTCTTCCTCTACATCTTTTCATAGGTTACCAGACCATTTGCTCTACTCTTCTCACTAGCACCTCTAGCGGTTTTCTGAATGCATGTTTAAATCGCCCTGATCAATTTTCTATTTTTTCCTTCCCAACAGATACCGCATCAATTTTTCATTGCATACAATTATTTTGGATCCTTTTTTCCCTTGTATGACCACATAGTCATATTAACATGCTCATGTATACTGCCTCTATTTTTTGTTCTTGTTATCCTTCCAATGTCCAACATTGACTATCATACAGTAGTCCGATAAAACTTTTTTACTTTAAGTTCGATAGTTATTTTGTAGTCACAAATGGCTCGTAGTCTCATAAATGACTTCTAATGCATCCTAATGAAAGATAAAAAAAGGCGGAAAATGTGTAAGAAAAGGGATTCCCCCCCGCCTCTTTTGATGTCTAAAATTAGTAAACTTATACAATTGTTTGTGGCATTTCTATATCTAGCTTCTTAAACAATGTCTATGCACATGATCTTGGAAACTACTATACGTTTGGGTCTAGTTTCATATCAATCCCATTTGTGCTTAGAATGTTCTGTCAAGGTGAAAATGTCTTGGAGAAGCTATATTTATGATATGATTACTCAGTTATTGTTGCAGAATATTATAGTGTAAAATTTTATTGTAGTTTGCTTTTGAAGTGCGTGTTTAATGCTGCCTTGCAATTTAACAATTAAACATCATACGTGTTTGATACAGGAAGGTTGGTGTGACAGTATGGGATCTGTTGAAGAAATTCAAGCCAAATTATTGAAGAGACAGGAGGCTGCAGCTAAACGAGAGAGAGCAATGGCATACGCTCTGGCACATCAGGTAAGTTACTGCTTGTTGTCGAGGCATGCAGGTTGGAAATGTGCATGTGAGAAATTTACCTTGAATCTTTCTGGCATTACATGTGAGAAATTTCTGATATTTGTGATAATGAGTTTCCATTAGATGTGGGAACATTATATTTGTAAAACCCTGGAATGAATTGTCCGTGTACATGCAATCGATTTGGCCTATAATCTTATGTTGGTTGTGGTTTTGTTAGGACCACTTTCAGAGACCTAGGAAGATACATGAAGAGGGAAAATTACTTTTTGTTGGGCAGAAGTTTGACTTGCTAGTTTGAAGAAAGAACTAGAAAGTAGAGTAGCTATAGGATCGCTATAGTCAAAGTCTATGAGTTGGGGGCTGCGAAAGTCATTTTTGGGTCCATAAATTTTCCCTTTTGGTTGAGCAAGGGGGCAGAGAAGAATTTTGACAAGTGTGGCTGAGTTCTTTGGTGGGAGAGAGCCAATCCTCTCGAAAGATTGGTATCCTACTGTGTGTTGTATCTTGTGAGAGTTGTATCTGAGTGTATTGTGTCTTTTGTTTGTCATATATAGTGTCTTTTATGCAGTAAAAGTAATATTAATCTTAAGTATTCCCGTTCTGTGTTGTTTATTTTTGGTTTTTACTCTTGTTTATAAGCTTCTTTAGTAGAGGGCTCTATCAGGTTCCAACTTCCAACGTCTAGTTTATCTTTTTTTCATTTTTGATTTATGTGATATTGACTGTAAAGGGTGCTTATAAAATGGAATTCAATTTTGAAGATCAGTTCCTCAACTATTCAATTACACCCTTTTTTTTTTTGTGGGTGTACAAACGGGGCTGTAAGTCCAAAATACTACAAAGCAACAACACAACCATTCAATTCTATTGATGCCCGGGAGTTGTAATACTTTTTTTTGTTCCTGCCCAAACGTTTGTGAACAAAATCTCTTTTTATTTCAGTGGCAGGCGGCATCAAGACAGCAGGCTGCTTCTTCTGGATTTGAACCAGATAAGAGTGGCTGGGGTTGGAATTGGCTGGAAAGATGGATGGCTGTCCGTCCTTGGGAGAATCGTTTTCTTGACATTAATACAAGGGATGGAGTAATGGTGTGTGAAAATGGAGCAGTGGAGGGTAAAAATGAAATCAGATCTCAATTAAGATCTGCTAGCAAGAAATCGGTTCTGCCAAGTATTAGTCCAAACCTTACCAGTCAGAAAACCGGGCCATCATTATCTGATGGTTGTGACTCTTCACCTAGCAAGTCTGCTGGTTTGCTGGAGGCATCAAAACCGCAGATTAAGACGAAATCTAATGCAAATGTTGCAACTGAAGAAGCCAACTCAAAACCTGGGCTTAGTTCGAGATCTCATAGTAATCCGAAGGAGCGAACCACACAAGCTGATAAACAGGCAAAAAAAAGATTATCTCTGCCTAACAATGGTGAGCCACTCTATCTGCCTTCTTCCTCTACACGTCTCTGATATTCACCTTAATGCTGGTAGCTTAGATGGATGGGTGAACAGCTAAGCGTGCAGGTTGTTCTTTCCCTTTAGGATGACTTCAAGCACCTTTGTTTATATAAATATTTACCTTTCGTAGAATTCGCCTCTTGTTAAAAAATGTTGGCACGTGTGGCACAAGGCCAATTTCACTGTAGCCTCTTTATGCTGAATTCGGGCTTTACTTGGTGTGGTTCTAACCCGGCATCTCCTTAACTAAAGGTTCTTAAATATTACTCATCTGGTCCTTAATATGAGACTTATTTAATTAATTTGATTAAATTAAAAAAGTTAAGTTAGTTAATTATAAGAAATATGAGATGTTTTTCCTAAAACACCATGATCATCTTTCTTAATTATGGTTGAGGGAGTATCCATAAGGGTAATTTAGGAAAAATTGATAAATATGAGAAATAGGTCTTATAGCTAGGATCAAAATCAACTCAATAATTAGGTCCTATATTAAGGACCGGAGGAGTATGACATAATAGACTGATGTTTAACGTTACCACTGATGTTATCCCTTTGCAATTTTGATGTAGAAACTCTGTTAATGTCTTCTGGTAAGAATGATTCTATAAAAAATTAGTTTCCTGATTTCAAGGATGCTTGCGAAGATAAAATAGAAAACATCTAGCAATCAATATGATGAAATTTCCAAGCCTAATTAAAGATTGTGTTTGGTTCGAAAGCGAAACTTATAAATCTGGTTGTCTCAGCAGGGGGAGGCGCCGGAGCTCAAACAGCCAAAAATCCTGCCAGAACTAATGTGAAGGGGGCAATCAGCACTCAAAAAGCTGTTCGTGACAAGCCTAAGCTCAGTGGAAGAGGCGATGTGAATTCAACAAAAACTGTTCCTCAACACGCAGAAATGTAATGCTAGAGAAATACCCCCACCTCTCTCCAACTTAGGCACCTGCCCGTTGTCTGTTTGTACATACTATCCATGCTTTGTGATTATTAGGGCTTGAAATCGGTATGCACAAGATCCTCCATGGAGATGCTGATTTGCTGTGGTAGTGAGCGGGTTGGTTGCTTGGGTTCCAGGATATTGGCTTGGAGGAGTGTTTTCGAAGTTGACAAATGTTTGTTGTAATTATGCATTATTTATTCTTGTCGGTTGTGATAATGCGGTATTTATCCTCAACTGTACAACCTCTGGAGTGCGATTGCGGGGTATCAGTTCTTTGTGTTCTTTTCTAGGAGCATACAGGTGTTTTTTTGTGGATGAAGCTGGAGAAAATGAGGAAAGAGTTAAATAAAACATCATCTATATTGCTTTTAATTTTAATAAAAGTCAGTTTACTAAGTATTCTTCCTATTCTTAATATACCATCTAATTATTGAGTTGATCTTAATCCTAAATATAAGATTTTTTTTTATCATATTTATCAATTTTTTTAAATCATTTCTATTGATACTCTTTTAATCATAATCAAGTAGGAGAAGAAGAGAGGATATTAAGGAAAATAATTATGGTATTTTACAAAAAATGACATTTTTTTATAATTAACTAATTTATATAACTTTTTTAATCTTATTAAATTAATTGAATAAGTCTTAGACCGAAGAGTACATTTTATATAATAGTACAATATAATACGAAATATTTTTGATATTTTATAAAATATATTGATATGTTAATTTTTTTCTTCCTTATAATTTTGTTTTATAATACTCCTCCGGTCCTAATTATAAGACTCAATTGACTTATTTGAGGAGATTAAGGAAGTAAGTTAAGTTGGTTATTTATAATAAATAAGTGTTGTCATTTCTAAAATATCCTTGCTAATTAAGTATATTGGCTAAAACTATCATTATTAAAAGGATTATCTTGGAAAAAAATGCATAAATATAAGAGACAAAATGGATTGAGGTCTTATAATTAGGACCAAATAAAAAGTCAAATAGGGTCTTATAATAAGGATAGGAGGAGTATTATTTTGCATATTTTGAGACCTATCTTACTTCATGAACGGTAACATGCTTCCGCACGATAACATTTGCCAGTTTTATGTAAAAGCACATATTACAAATGTAGTTACTTACTGTACCCCAAAAAAAAAATGTAGTTACTTACAGTTACACTCCCCTGCCGTTTTCAAGACTTCCGCATTTGAGATATTTTATTTTATCCCCACTTGGATCAGGAATGATCCTTTTTGTTTTTGAGTGGGAGAGAGAATCAGGACCAGGAATGATCCGAAATCCCCTTAAAATTTTATGCGTGGTCTTTTGAATTACTATTATTACAATAAAATAGTGAATGTCAAATTTACAGTTCACCCTTTTTTTTTCCCGAGAAAATAACAATAAAGACTTGCTTAAGAGAATTAAATATAAAAAAATCTTTTTAAATTATCAAATTATTCTGAAATTTCAAAGAATTTCATTGTAAGAGATCTATTTGTTTAATTGCCAAATTATTCTGTATTTTAAATATGTATTGGCAACTAAAAGAGTAATTATTAACAACTTAAGTTGTAATAATTAATAATTATCAAGATAGGTATTTACAGCACATTTTTTCAGAGCATCATAAAAATATAATATATAAGTTGTTAATATTTGTCTTGATAATTATTAATTATTATATCCTAAATTATTAATAATTGTATTTTCAGTTATCAATATATAACTTCATTGTAATTTGTCCCATTTTTTTCCCCCTCTTCTGATGTGATGGTTATTATTTTTCCCAATAACCATCCTCCGAGGCTTGGCACGTTTGGCATTCTACTGCCGCCCTAACAGACGCCGTTGCTCGTGTTACGGTAACCTCAGGGAGCTACGCCGTCACATATAACGGCGAACTTCCTTCCCACCTTGCACCAACCGTACTGAGGGATTAGGCGACGCTTTCCCAATCATCGACTCCGCCCTTTCCATGTCTTCGTCTATACTAGTTGAAATGAGACTCCCCGTTGCCTCTCCACCGGCTCTCGTCCTCTTCCCTCATTCGCCTCTTACCAGTACAGTGCTCGCAGACACCCAACATAAGCCCACCGAAGCTCCTTTTCAGTTTTCTCTCACTTTCCCGGGAAAATAAAATTCACATCTTTATGAGCTCTCTCCCACCGAGTTTCTCACAATTCCAGGCCTTTCTGCTGAAATTCAGTTGCGCACTTTCTCCCTGAATTTCCCGCACTTTCTTTCACAATTCCAGACCATGTATCCCACGCTCTATCCCCACGAGTTTCTAAACCCTTTTCATCGATTTCACCTCACTTTCTTTCCCCCCTGAGATTTGCTCCTAGTTCAATGTTCTCGACCCCGTTTGTTCTCTCGTTCTCTCTTCTTTTGTCTCTTCCAATCCTCTTCTTCTTCCTCGCCCCTCACATCCTTCCTCCTCGACACTCCGTCCCCATTTCCCTTGACGACGAGCTTGACGATCTTGCTCTCTTCCATCGCGCTGCTGCACAATCGTCCACGTCGTCCAATCCTAATAACCCCAACCGCCACTTCCATCTTTCGTCATCTAAGAACCCGAAGCTCAAGATCGCTTTCTTATTCCTCACAAATTCTGACCTCCATTTTGCCCCTCTCTGGGATCAATTCTTCAAAGGCAACCCCACCGATTTGTATAACATTTATGTTCACGCAGATCCTGCCGTAAATGTCACGCGCCCCACCAGCGGCGTTTTTAAGGGACGGTTCATCCCGGCCAAGCGGACCTTCCGCGCGTCTCCCACGCTCATCTCTGCCACCCGCCGGTTGCTCGCCACCGCACTCCTAGACGATCCCGCCAATTCCTATTTTACCGTCCTCTCGCAATACTGTGTCCCTCTCCATTCTTTCCGATATGTCTATCATTCCCTTTTTGTGTCCCCAACCTTCGATTTGACCTCTTATGAATATGATCCTGAAGCGGCTCGCTTGGGTGTACGACTGAGGTACAAGAGTTTCATCGAGATTCTCTCCAAGGAGCGTAGCCTTTGGAAACGATACATTGCTAGAGGTCGATTCGCAATGAAGCCCGAGGTGACATTCGAACAATTTCGAGTTGGATCTCAGTTTTTCACGCTCACCCGCCGACACGCATTGTTGGTGATAAAAGATCGGGTCCTCTGGGGAAAATTCAAGTTGCCCTGTTACAGAGACGACGAGTGCTACCCAGAAGAGCATTATTTCCCTACCTTGTTATCAATGGCAGATCCAGATGGTTGCACCAAATACACCCTAACGCGTGTCAATTGGACGGGTACAGTGAATGGGCACCCTTATACGTATCATCCCGCTGAAGTATCGCCGGAGCTGATTCATCAACTCCGGGTGTCGAACCACTCGGAATCTTATTTGTTTGCCCGAAAATTCACCCCTAATTGCTTGGAAAAGTTGATGGGCATTGCTAAATCGGTCATATTCAAGGACTGAAATCTGAACAGGGTATGTTGAGTTCCTGTTTCTGTTTTCTTTTGTTGGGGGCGTTGTTAAGTTTGAGTTGATTAAAGGATAAACAATATGGATTTGCCAAAACCTAATAGATGCCTACCAAATTGTTTACTTGAACATTTGCATACTCTGTCATGTGCATCAGTCCATATCTTCTCGTATCATTATGCATGCTTCTCAGGTTGGGAGTTACTCTTTACTTCTATATAAGCCAATGTCAGATTCACTTTTATGACGGATGCGCCTGGCATTAGATATTAGATCTCAGGTTTGATGCTTTTACTTTATCCTGTTATCCACTAACATTGGCTGGCCTGGCATTCTTGGTTCAATTTCTCTTCGTTCTCTCTGCTAAAGATGCGCCTGAGATTAGTTCCGGAGTCAAAGAAAGATCCTACTTTATATTGTGACTTGTGAGTGGCTCGTTCTTCTGAAGAATAGATTATTTTTAGGGATTAGGGGCATGTTTTTGAGATGAAGCGAAGTGTTCTCTCCTTTTTGCTTATAGATTGTGTCGTTGCTTTTGGCACTTATGCCTGCTTGGTTTATGACGAGAGTAAAACGTTTGATGCCATCTTACTTAAATGCTGGCGGTTAAAATAAGTGTGCTTGTAGTTACTTTTCTTGTTTTCTTTAGGGGTGTTTTTCTGCCCTATCTCCTAGAATTTCACACACGCTCCACTTGAGCTAGCGGTGCTAACCAATTCATTTCTAATTTTATTCTTGCAGGCGAAAAGGGTTAAGAATTCTCTAATGATATTGGAATTTTTTGCCGTTGGAATAGTTTGAGGGGGAGCTATATGGTTTGAAGAGGCATGAACAGCTCACAACCCATACCACTTAAGATCTCCGACGCAAAGAGCCGAGACAAAGTAATACTGATTCAGGAAAGGAATCAGAAAAGCAGGTGGATGTTGGACACCAACGCGAGCTAAAACCTAAAAGGAAAAGGTATCTTGTTGGTGTAAAATAGACGGTAATGCTCAATTAGTTGCCAACTTGCTATGAAAGATTACGTTCGTCATTTTTTTTCCCCCCTTTTGTGGGATGTTTCTGTACATAGAGTTGTGGACAACATTGATCAAAGATCTACAGTGTACTTTAGGATGAAACGAATCCTGTTGCCTAAACTTGAGGGAACGGACGCTGCAAGTAGTTTTTTTTAAGGGAAAAAAAAAATGCTTCTGGCCAATTGCTTATTCCTTCTAATTTATTTACCTTTATTTCCACTCTTCAAAGAAATTCAATGTAGATCCAAGAGACACGTAGAAATGATGAAAGTAGATTTTATTATGATGTTTATTTGAGCTATTTATGAGATAATGTAATTATGCTGAAAGCAGATTTTTTTTTTTAACACCATGTTTACTTGATGTGTTTATGTATCTGTATGAGTTTCGTCGCTCCCTCCCTGCCCCCTCTTTCACTTGTTTTCTTTTTTGTTCATTGGGAAACTGCTTTTAACAATATTTTAGTCCCTTTTCTCCTGTGAGAAAGGATCAGAGATTTTAGTTTGATGTGGCTTAGAGGTTGAAGCCTGGGAATTACGGCCAAAATCACCGACAAAAAATACAAAATCATAGAAACGAGGCCAGTTGAGGCCATGAGCCTGTAGAACCCATGGCCACGGCCGTGGGTGTGTCACTGTTGATACTCAATAGTTACAGTAAGGTTCATGAAACTAAGTAACTAATGTCCATTGAAAAATATGATAAATTTCGTAAATCCCAAAACTCT